TAGAAATTATATATTTAAATCGTTTTTAAATGATTTAGGATTTCAATATTAGTTATGCGACTTCTGTTTCATTATTTTTGTGCACAGCTCTTTGGTCTTGTTGGAGTTTAAATTTCTCTAGAACTAAATCAGGAATAGTAACTCCAGAGCTGCAGAGCTTAGATGCTGCATGTTCATTTCTGATATAAAAGATACAAATTCAACAAAATAAATTACTTCTGGTGTTCCTCTTCATGTGATTAAAAACTTGTTACATTTTCAGACTCAGTTCAGGGAAAATATAAACTGAACAAAGTGAACCATGAATATAAAGACGATCAGCCAGGAAATGTTTCTTTTCCATGCATTTATTGATTTATTGTTAATTTCTGAGACAGAGAAAGATCCATTAGGGAGCTCAAGGTGAGATGAGAAAAAACAAAGATATTGATTTATTCTAATTCTACAAACATGTGGATCAAACTGATCAAGAAACAATAATGAAATTATTTCTGAGAGGAAATTTGATGAGAATTATATTTCGTGACAATTTGTTTTATTGAACCCCAATTGTTTTTCTTATCCACCCAATGTATTCACACACATCCATGATGAAAACCCGAATCTGAAATGCGTCGCCTGGTACAACTGGAGTAATCACACCATAAATCATGCCGTTGAACACCACTGCTGAACCAACGTCACCCTGTAAAAAAACATTACATCAATATATTTATTTAAGTTGTAAAACAGAAAAGTCTTCTAATTACTGCAAAGAGATAGTGAAGAAACAAACTTACATGACATACATCCATGTTCGGTGCAGCAGCAGAAAATACATGACCGTATACAGCCACAAATTGGGGACTGCCAGCAACGTTCATGTTGACACACTGAAGACGTGGTGCAATAGCAGCATCAGGTACTGGAGAGAAACATGAGAATCATAAACATGTTCTTCACTCAACCTTCTATGTAGAGACAGAAACAAAGATTTTATTCTCATAACTTTAATATTTCTCTCACATCGTTGATTATTGGGGCCGGTTGTCGTTGCTCCCTCTCCTGCCAGCTGAACAATAGCACCACTGAAACACAATTAGAATAAAATGTAACAATACAAAATAACAATGAAGAAAATGAATTGTCATAAAGAACAATGGAAGAACAGAAAATAAATCCATGAAGGACTTCATCCACTGACACAGGAGTGTCCTCCTCCTGTCCTCAGTGTCCTGTGTCCTTTACACGTGTCTCTGGTCCAACACACCTGAGCTAAACTGGTTCTGGTTCTGCTGGTGGCCTGATTACCTGACTCAGGTGTGCTGAAGCAGAGGCAGCAGGACTGGAGACAGAAAACATGAAGTCATGTTTATGATCAGAGAAAGACTTACACTTTAGGGCGTTTACTGCAGTCTGGTAGTGGAACAAGTGGGACACCCGTTACTGGCGTTGGGAGCTTCAGCAACATGATTTCATGCTTCCAGTTTTCAGAAGTATAAACTACATTAAGGTCTATGGCTCTGAAATGCGTCTGTTTAGCAGTCCGTGGATGAACATTTAACTTTGCTACATTATTCCTGCAGAAAAGATTAGATTATAATTAACACACAGAAAACCTGATCATTTGCAGATAAAGCTGTTTTCATGCCTCTTTCCTACCACCCCATCTCCGACTTCCAGCAGGCAGCTGCAGTCAGGATCCACATAGGGTGGATCAGAGATCCTCCACAGAAGATCATTTGAGTACCATTGCTCATTTCCAGCCGAATATGATAATGCCGGTCCGTGTCGTCACAGTCATGACCTCCAATGATTCTCTTCTGCAGAGAAACAGCTGAGTTCACTGAAACACCTGGAGAAGAAAAATTAGGACCTTATTCAGAAACCAGGTGCAAACATGGCTGCTGGAGCAGAAAAGGGATAAATAGTTAAAGAATAAAAAGAATCGCAGTTCATATGCAAAGAAGTTTCCATCTGAAACAGAATCAGAGGGAAGTTTGAGAGTCACAGAGAGCATCAGCCTCCCTGGAACCCAAGAAGTGTCTCCAGTGTGTCCAGTTTCTCCAGTGTCCCCAGTTTCCCCAGTGTGTCAGACTCACACAGCCCCAGCAGCAGCAGAACCTTCAGCAGAGCCATTGCTGGTCCAGCTTCCTGTGAACGAATGTCTGCAGTCCTGCAGCAGCTTTTAAACTCTGTTGACAGAAAGCCACCAATCACAGAACGGACACCGACCTGTCCAATCACAGGACAGACTCTGATCTGCTCTGTCATCTCCATACAGAGTAACTAACATCTCATCGTTCTAAAGAAACTTGAAAAAGGTTCTTCTTCCATTGACAGATTATTTCACTAATATCCAAACATTTCCCCTCTTATAGCTTAAATAATCAACCAATTAATCAAGAACTTTTCATCAATTCTAAGGAATTGACTTAAAACAAGCAGATCCTATTTGGCTGCAAAGTTGCTTGTT